ATTGCGCGAATCGCCATGGCACGTTGCACCCGAGAAGCAAAGTTTGAAGAAGTACAACGCCACTATATCAATATATATCAATCTAATTTTTTGTTATGTTATACAAAATTTATCCCCCTTTAACATATGTAAAAATTGAGGTTAAGAAGTGTTAAGCTTTTGCAAACGAAACGGCGAAAGACGATTAGGCGATATTTAGTAGAAGGAGGAGGTATTCAACACTTTCAAATTAAACTCAAATTTTGGCATTACACGACCAACAAGTTTGACTTATAGACGTACAGACACAAACATATGAAACTGTTTATTGATATTGTTGTGAAACGAATTTATCTATTTAACACTGTAAGCCTGAAATTACAGAAAGAAAATAGGATTTCCGGTTTGCAAAAGGGAAAATTTCGCCGGCCATGAAGCGCACCGGAAGCGCGGAAAGAGCGCTCGTGCCAGTCCTACTCCGCATCACACATTAAATGAAGAGCGGAGCGCTCGTTTCACCGCCCAACCTTTACCCGCCCTGCTTTATATTTTATAATAGGGGCGATTTGGGTTCCGAACAGGGGGGCCCTGGTTCCGAATCCCCCAAACTGAAATCACAATCGTCTTAAACGTGCTGTTAGATAATTGAAATTCAAATACCTCTGTTCTGGACGCCCGAAATTAACAAAAGTAACATAAGCGTTGGCTGTCCCTTTATTAACACTTTCAAGTTTTCACACATAAAAATCACAAAATTTGCCTCGAAGCCCGTGATTACGCTGGCAATACTGACAAATTGTTTGTGGAATCATCTCGAACAACGACCTGGATCAGTTAAAGCGAAAATGGCTTAATTGTTTATGTCTAATGAGTGGGAAGTGATGGAAGAGCTGGGGTGTAACCGAGTGCAGTGAGGTGAGGTTTCCAAAAAAATAAGCAGTACCCTCGCTGAAACATTGTAATTCCACCTTCTGAGTTAAAGGAAGACCAGGTTGAAGGCTCCTAACCAGATAACCAACGAGGTGATTCAGTCTGATCGGTATCACAGAAAATATTTTTTGTGGCGCCTATTTATTTTTAATTGCAAGGTGGGCGACAAAACATTACGTGCACTTTGAAGTGAGAGATGTCCGTGACCAAGTTAAAGACCGTATCAATGTGTTGATTGTTTCAGTTTAGTGACTTTAGATTGCTTTAATACGATTTTATTGGGTTGAAGAGAGCATTACTGCCACCATCATGACAAAAATATCGTATATTTGCTCAGATTTTCCAACTAGCAATGTTAGTTAAATTGCCACTAACCCAAGTTTTCATTAAAAATATTCGTGACTTTTATTTTTATAACCGACTATACTTAGTTGGGTGCGTGAGAATGAATATGTTTATATTCTTCAGACACAACATTTTTATGACAAAAAGCCATTAAAATCAGGCTTAAGTGGTGGTCGGAAGTCATCCGTTAAAAGTGCCAAGGACTGACTAAGCCATATGTCACTTTTCCATCAAAACTGTTATGCTTTGGTGAGAAGTCAAGTACCTATATACGCCCCCATAATCCTCTTAGAGAAATATGACACATTGTGGTAAATGTTGGGAACATTTTTTGTTATTTACTGGAAGGAGGACATGAAATCATCCTTTTTGTGTCAGGCTGTTGAGTCACTAAATATCCATTTAATATCAGTATACTGGGCGGAACACGTCGCTTCGATTTCTCGTTACTGATTTTAAGAGCTGGGCTGAGCACGAATTTAATTTGAAAATGTCGAAAGGTCCCGTGATGTCTGACTGCTCCTGGTTATCAAAAGAATAATTGTTAAATCATATTATGCGAAGTTATCTCGGTTCATCTCACTTACACGCAACAGATGTACTGAGAAAAGCTCAGTGGCTCCACGATCGAAATTCATCAGTCATTTGTGGCCGGCACAAAGCAGGGCGTCAGCATTCATTCGAGTGTGGACAGTGTGGAGTTGAAAAAGTGCTGAGATCCTTTGTGCAGTACTAGACGGAATGAAATTAAACTAGCTTGCTTACAGTCTTATTGTAGCATTAATACGTTTTAAGACACAAGCCAAAGGCTAGAAAAGAGATTTCAAATGCATCGTTCTCTGAACATTTGTTTAAATATTTTGAAGAATTATGAAGCAACACAAGTCTGTAAAGTAAGGCCAAACTTTTAGGCGGCTATGGCTGTGGCTACAGAAGTAGCAGCATAAGTAGGAAAATCGCTACCCTTGGTCAAGTTAACTGAATAAGGCCGGTGATTGGCAATTTCGTGGCTCTAGTCGGTTTGGATTCAACCTTATTACACAGTACGTAGTGACTATGGATTAGTACACATTTAGTTTTAACATGAAAAAACATGTTGGCTTCCTGTCCGAGGTGACTTGATTGTCTAATCTGTACGTATACCGGAGGCTGCTTCAGATCTAAAGTTGGTGTAAGCTCATTTTAAGATTCTTTCAACCAAATCCACACGCTTACCAAGCGTTTTAGTCTTCTGTTTGCTTTTGACTAATCTCAAATCATAAAACAAAAACACCTCGTTGAATCGACAGAAACAGAGGCTTGGATTAGCGTTAATTAATTAGACTTTCGGAGTTCGGTTTCCTTGACATGAAAGTCTGCAATAAATGTTCATCTTAACTTCACTCAGCCGACAGCAAAGTCATACCATCATCTGTAATCTCTGTATTATGATGAAGTTGAACAACAATCAACCAAGCAATTCCATTCTACACTCAAAAGTTTGAGAAACTAAGCTGGCAAGCTGTTAAAATAAAATTCCAACCTGATACTATAAGATTTTCTGATATTACATCTTGTTAATGGTACTTAGTTGTCACGTCAGTCTGCAAATCGCTATATTTTGTTATATTTTTATATTTTAAAGTGAAATGTACTCAGTAAACCGGAATAGTAGGAAGTGGGGTTAGAATTTCTCACAATTTTAGGTTGAAAATAAAACTCGCGTGAGCAAAGCGAATCAAGGACAGAGTTTTTTTATCGATGCATTTTTGTTTGGTGGTAATTAGATTGGCTTGAATTTTTTGGAGATTCAATAAAACTACCGATTGATCTTGTTTGTAGCAGAAGACTAGGTTTTATTATTAATTAACTTACCGCAATAGTTGCAGTTCACCGCATTTGCCGCTTGCCAAGAGGTCGAAGATCATCTATTTCTTCTCCAGAACTTTGTCTGGCGCGTTAAGCCCATTTGCAAATGTTTAGTTCAAACTTACCAACCTCTATATATAGAGGTCTAAACTCTGGTGATTTATTTTCGCTTCTGACAAGCCTTATCAACCCATCGACCCCTCCACACAAACAAACTAGCCTCACAATCCTACAATCCTTTTTTGGACGCTTATTCAGCCAAATACTGGCTGAAAGACTGTCATCAGTAAAGACAGAACCTGGTTGAAAGACACTCGAAAATGTAACATGCCAAATTTTCTCCGATTTTAGGACAATTTGGAATTAAATTTCACCCTTCCTGCTTTAGCACAATAAAATTTCAAAAGCCGCTTTTAGTTTGGGAGATTTGGTTAACCCACTCGGGAGACCCGGGATTTGGAATACTTCCGGATGCTCGAGTGCTAGAATGTACTCACTCACTTATGGGAAATGGTCACATACATCATGCATCCTATTCTAGCTGTTATAAAAAAAAAAAACGGAATAACATCAACATTATGGGCAGCCATAGTAATATTGACAATATTGCTCCATATCATTTTATTGGAAAACCATCTTGGTCTCGGTTGGTTAAGTTATTTTTTGGGTAAGATTGTTCTGAAGGATTAAAAAGGCATCGTGACATCCCTGGGTGGGTTGAATTTTCAACAGTGGCAGTTCTACAACCAAACTGCTGAGAAGGCGTAGCAGAGGGTTATGCAGTTGACTGATATGGCACAAAACCACCCGCCTAGAACAAGAGCCTCTGTTCGTGGCATGGCATTCATTAAGCGGCTTTGCGTGATTTGTTGAAGCTAGGCCCTCGTTTTAAGTTTTTTAGAGATCACTTTTCGGAATGCTGAATGTATTTTAGCACTCGTCCATCATAGAAAACAGGATGTTTCGTCACCTTAATCGGAGCACTTCATTGCGACTAAACAAGCCATAAACATAACTTTTTTCAGTTGCTTTAACCCACTAAGGAAGAGGGAGCACCCTCGAAAAGTCTGGGTTTTTTTCACCCTTTTCAATGCACATTTTGATAAACTTTGTGAAAATCAAACCATAACCAGGCCGCCCCGCCATAACTTAACACACCATACCAAATCCATAAATCACGTTTGTTTTAAGTTTTTATAGTTTTAAGGAAATTTTTAAGTGCGGGCGATATAATAATAGCAGAAAATTTAAATTTGAATTATTTATAAAACAATCAAGGGAACCGACCGTGCATTAAAATTTCAACCTTTTGGAGCGAAGACTGTCCGATTCAACAGGTATGATTTTTTCATTGTTTTCGTGATTTTTAAAATTTGTTAAATCTCAGGTCCTCTAAAAAGGCAGAGTCATTGCATTTTAGGTGACTACGCTTCCTTCCTGTAAATGATACAAAATATTTCAAGAAACCAATCTTTCCTCCCTTCAAAATGCGAATATTTGAGGAGTCTTGGATTCATATATCACAGAGAAATTCTTAACTTTGTAATGACAAGAATGATCAGTCCAAACGAAGGCCGAAACAGTTTATGTAACTTAAATTGCAAACAACGTTTCGCTGATTGGACAAGTGTACCTGATGTTGCTGTTGGTTTTAATTTTCACAAGTAGTTTTTTTTCCTTTTTCGAAATGTTATCCGCTTTGAGTGGTACTGAGAATTGGAAAACACGCTCTCAAACTTGAGAAAACTCGTCCACTTGAGAAAGATCATTGTTAAACAACCTAGAAACGACCGTCTGTCCACCCATCATACTCATTTCTCTTTCTCTAATGTTTGGAGGTAAATAGGACCAGCCTGTTAAAAAGGTGACAGCTTTGAGCTTATTAAATAAATCTTCTAGGAGCCTCAATCAGCGGAATAATAAAAAACAGAAAGTCAAAGATGCTATATATATATATATATATATATATATATAAACTGAGTATATGAAAATTTTATTAAAAATTTTTCCTATCTACAATTGTTTCCTTAACTCAGGAGCCTATCAATCGAAGTATTTAACTTCAACCTTTCACGGAAACACGACCGTTTTATTTGACGTGCTAAATTTTAGATCCATGTCAATTCTCGCGAATCTGATTTCAGACTGCAGTGATGTTACAGACCGCTAAGCAATAATGCAGGTCGGAAATTGACACTAAGCCCTGAGGAAGAGGTTGAAGCTAGGCAAAGTTAAAATTGGAACTGCAAACTCCGATAAATGGGTTCCTGTCTTCATTTATTTCGTTTATCGATTAATGTTTAAAAAACGTCCGTTTTTTTTAAAAATGTTACGAGTATTAATTAACCCAAACATTGAACACAGGCAACAATACTTTCTAATCGCTTTAAATAAAACTTACAGACCTTAGATAAGGCAACCAAAAAATCAGTTTTGCCAAAAACTCTAAAATTTACTTCCTCTACCGTGTCGGTGCGGTAGATATTTTAAGAGACTATAGAAATCCTTAGCACCCTCTTAATTATACTACAGCGGCATTACATACTGAAAAATCCTCTGATGTCACTTGTAGTTTACGTTTAAAGGATGTTCAAGGTGAACGAAGGAAACACAGAACTTGATAGGCTATCATTCCGAGTTCCAAATAGCGGCCTCAATGTAAAATGAGTTCAAGTGTAAAACCTTTCTTATGAAAATCCGTTTCATTTGCATGCCGAGAAGAAAAGATTAACCTAACATCCAAGGCTTCACTTAGCCTCGCTTAAAAACCGAGTCTTACTGGGGCAATTTGAAAATGGCCTACTAAACCAGCTCTTTAGCAAGATAGTTCTGCAAACAATTTCATTAAAAACTGAAAACGGGAATTCAGTTCCATTCTCAGTGTTGCCCCGCCGCTCATGGGCAACTTATCTAAAATGCAGTTTAAAATTGCTTTGTAAAAACTGAAAGGAACTTATGACGATAATACCAGTCAAGATGTTATTTCTTAACAAACGTGGAACTGAGGGTTGTGAACACGTGTAGCTCATGCAATTTGGAAGAGATTTGAATTCATCTTTCTCCTACATTTATATCTAAAGGTAAGAATTTCACAGTGGAGTGTGGCTCAATTTTCTTAGTTGTAAGAAGTGCTGTATTCTGATTCACTAACAGCTACGAAGGGTCGTGGAACGACAAGATTTTTCCGTAGAACGTTCCTACGCAAATGTGTTTTTTAAATCTCTTACGCTACATTGTGATGTGATGGTTTCAACGTCTTCATAGTTGTCTTAGCTATATAGCTGATTCCAAAATAGCACAAAACGACTCTTCGTGACATTCCGTTCAAACCGTTGTCTCCCACTCGCGGCTTCTAAGCTATAACGAAGTTAAATATGAATAAAATTATAAGTAAATTGCACAGAGACCAGTTGATCGCAGAACTTCGGTAGGCCAACTCGATATCGCCTTGTTTCTTAGTAAAGTTCTCAACAATTTGTTCATTTTTCTTGCTGGTGGCCTTGCCAATAGTCTCTCGATCAGTTCGCCTTCTGGTGGTCAAAGGTTTTTCTCTCAAAGTAGAAAAGGGACGAACAGCTCTAGTGGTCAAGCGAGTGGTTGGGCGAGTGGTCGGCGGCACAAATTTAACTGATTTGTACGATGAGCATTCAACTAGTGGCAGGTAAAAAGACGTTGGTCTTCTTGATGGTGAAGAAGGCTGTGTTCCATCACTGGCCCGCTGTCCTACATAGAGCAATTTTTTGCCTTCAGGATTTTTTTCCATCTTCACCAGGTCATATTCAGTATCCGGAAGAGAGATACCATACTGTGCACATCCAAATGTAGGTGTGATATTTTGTGCAACATTTGTCTTCCACCTAACTTTACCACAAGAGTCTTTTTGTGCAGAGTTCAAAAGATCGGTGACAAAGGACAACGTGGGAGTTATAGTCGCTTGTGTCATAGTAAACACATAGTCATAAGCCCCTGCTACTTTCTTGGAAGAAATGCCACCTTTAAACCTGCCTTTAAATTGTATAATAGCCTCAAGATCCTTACAGGCAGCATCGTGATAAAAGAAGTAATGACATTCCCACTTTTTCGCCTCCTTATTAAATTTAAAGTGACGAGTTTGGAACGCTCCTCCAGGAGTTGTCTCACAGGTTGTGCTGGCCCATTCTCCCTCCAAATCAACTTTAAGAGGAGGAACCTGGGGTAACTTTGGTGGTCGTACACCAGTCCCTGATTGGATCTTCCTACAGATGGTGCAGTTGTTTGCATTGTACCTTTGTAGAGGTAGCTGGTACGACTTGGGTTTATGTCTAGTCGCTCGATTTGTTGGGATTTCAGCAAAGTAAAGTTTGTCGTATTTGGAGCCCTTCCTTCGTCTCGTTTCCAGCTTAAGTTTTGAAAACTCTGATTCTGATATTCCGAAAGAATTTCTACAGGCTCGCTTTCTGAACGCTCTTAAGTTAACCTCGAACACGTGGATTCCAGAGCGTGGGGATCTAAAAACACGAAGGCTGTTTGGGCAGTGTCTGTTTGACACATTCACTATTTCTTGCTGCTCATGTTCATTGTGCGGATAAACATTTACTCTCGTAAAGTTAAAATGTGCCTTGTTGGTGTCTTTGACAGGATCCAGTGACAATTTCAAATAACCTCTCACATGAAGGCTTAACTTAGGCTCTGAACACTGTGAGTCATTATATCGATAAAAATAACCCTCCCAGGTTCCGTTGCGGAAAATCGTGATGTGCCTTGTGAAAAATTGTGGACCAGGTCTGACCTCGCAACTGCAAAAGTACAAAAAGAAGAAAAACATGTGAATTAGTTCATGACGAGAACATGACTATGGAAAAGGGAGGCCGCGTATGAGCCTAATTTCAAGTGCAGAACTAACTTTCGTTTACCTTTACCTGGGCTTTGAGAAAATAATAATTAAAAAAAAAAATGAACGAATAAAAAACGACTTAGAGGTCACAGCACATTCACTTATTGGTTCCTGGTCTACCACTCCTATTCGAACTGGAATTTGGAATTGTTGGTTTTTGAGAAGGGGTAAACCCGGACAACCCGAAGAAAAACCTCTCGGAGCTAAGGAACAACAACAAATTCAAACGCCGCTTATCAGTCTCCCGCCCCCCACAAATTATAAGCCTATCTACCTGTTAACAAAAAAAATGTTAGATTTTACGTCCCTCTCTAGCTTGTACTGAAATGAATTCCATTTATTTTGTCATCTTGAAGCTTAATAAAAAACAAGTAAACACAAAGCACATTTTGATCAGCACTAGTATAGCATGTTTTGAGGCGCTTTTTTTTTCCAGTTATGAGCCCCCTTGGATGTAAGCCCCTCTGTTTATGAGCCCTCCTAAAAGCCCTTACGAAGTACAGTGTATAAGCCCGGCCGGCAGTTTATGGTATGGCCTGGACGCTGGTGATTTGAACCCGCTCACACAGCACTCCCTACGTTACAATTGTTGGTTATCCTTTAATCAATGGTATAAATCTCTGACTACTTACTGACTGAGAAAGGAAGAATAACGTCAAGAAAAAGTAGTTTACATATCCTGTAATAAGGGGAATCGCTGCTCTCTTACAGGCCGCTTAAACAGTCAAATAGAGTCTCTAGCCGTTTTGTAACTGTTGCACTTGTACGTACGAAAAATTAACACACAAAACTTTCTTTCAAAATAAAATTAATCCGCACAATTTCTTTTATAAATAAAGCATCTGCCAACATTAAATTCCTCTCTTTTACGGACTTGGCAACGCAAAACCCACTGCAATGCATTACCATGAATTCCTCATCCTTAACTCACACTCCGATTTCACCCTCGCTCCACAGGATTTTTTTTTTTTTCGCAGTGCGTGGCCAGATGGCCGGTAACCGGTCAAGGTTTTCAAAACACTAACTGACCGGCGGTCTTGTCTTTGCTGTAAATTTCACAAATCGTAAAAACCTGCTAATATAAACTATCATTATGTTGACTAACAAAAGTCAAGCGATTCTGAAACGCTTTATAGATCTCAAGTTTAGCGTTTGGTTTACGCTGGGCTCAGAAGACGAAACCATGTTTTGTGACACAGAACTTTTTTCAGGTTTACCGCCCGTCAAGATTTTCAAAACACGAAATGACTAGCAGTCTACCCTGCTAACAGAGTCGCTTCAATCTTTCCTAGATAAGTCGGGAAAGTGCAGGAAAGACGAAAGAGGAAAGAGGACAGGGGAAAAAGGAAAGAGGAAAGAGGAAAAAGGAAAGAGGAAAGAGGAAAGAGGAAAGAGGAAAGAGGAAAGAGGAAAAATTTACTACGAAATACAGGACTGCCGGTCATTTAGGGTTTTGGAAACCTTGACCGGTTACCGGCCATATAGCCACAGGGTTTTTTTTCCACCTAATTGTATAAAAATTCGGGCTGTTTTGCTGTCTAGACATGGCCCAAAGGCGACGCCTGTTTTTTTAAATACATGTCACCTCAGAATAGACAATGATATAAATAAATGTGAGGCTGGAAGGCAACGAGATGAAATGAATAGTTGAAAACTCGCAATCACACCTACATTTCTGCCACTCATGGGTTGTAAAACTGACTATAATGCGTCTGTACTGGCAAATTTGAAGTTATAGTAAAATTTGGCCGTATTTTACTGATCTGTGCAGAGAACTAAATTTTTCAATACCTTAAACTGCAATTATAATTCTTTTCGCTTAGGTTCTTATAGAATTAGCTTACGCTCTGTTTAAAGACTCGGTCAGTATGTGACTCAGGGTTTTTTGCGGCAAGAATAGGGGTTTAACAGTCACAGTAAGTCTTAAATGTGACATTTACAAGGTCACTTTGGTATCTGATAACACATGGTTTTTAAGGATTTTCTGAGGCAAAAAGATTTCCTATGAACTGATCACGGAAATAACTCTAAAGCACTTTTAACAGGGTTCATACAAAAAACTGTAACCATTTTTTAAGGACTTTTCAAGGACCACATTAGATTTTCAAGGACCATCTGCTAGGAATATATAATGTCACAGATTGTACAAAAAATTAATGCACATTCCCAGTTTATTCTAATAAGACTTTAAGGCTTAAACTGTTTCTTTCACCAACTTCTCTACATTTTTCAGTTCACCTGTATTAAATTGATAGTTAATTATTACATAAGACATAGAGCACTAAAAAAATCCTGAGCTCATCCTATTCAGTGGTTCAGACTAAAATAAAAGCATTTTTTCTTATCTATCAAATATCTCAGTCAGGACCACACTTCTTAGGTAGAAGTAGACTGCAAGCAGTCTGTCTTTTTCTTAGTCAGATTTAGTGAAGGCAGAAGTTAAACCGGATATTTCAACAACTGTATTACCCTTTTAGTGAAATGAAAAACTTGCTACTTTGACGACCTTTTGTAACCTGCTGGTCCCGGCCGGCCATACCTAATAAACGCTTGTTGCTTCACAGGGTAAATACAGGGTATAAGTTACACTTGATACCATATCACCTTCTAAGTATTCTAATACGCTTAAGGGCTTTATTTCATAAGACCTTATCTTAGCAGAGACAATTTGCACATCAAAGTCACTAGACCATCTCTGGACCAGTTATACTGAAGGGGTCTGCAATGATGCACCAGTTCAAACTAAGACTGAAATAAATGTGACCGAGTTTTGTGAAAAAAAAAACAAAAAACAAAAAAACAGTAGATATGTTTCCATGTTCATTCAAACTACTTATGATGTTTAACTCTTCTTTTGATTCTCGCTCAGTTTTATCCAATATCAGCTATATTCTTTCGGGTAATTAAGATATGATTAAATTACAATAATCATGAGCTGGCAAAACTCAGCTAGGCTTGACAGGCTCTCGGCCAAGACTTCAATAGTCTGACTATATTATGAAACTCTATACTTGCTTGCTTAGACCACAGAGTCAGCTAAGGGAACTGCTTGTTCCATCAATAAAGTTGGCAAGAAGACAAAAACTCAGAAACTATTTTCGACCATTTAATTGTAATGAAACTAACCAATTAGGCAGTGGTTGCATGTTTTCTTCCAGCGTTATCTACCTAAATGATGCCGCATGGCTAAAGCGAGTCTCTGTGGCCTTAACTATCACATAGAGTAACTACCTAAAACAATTCCCAGAAGTTTCGTGTAAAAAAAGATGTTTAGTTGAGCCTTGCCAGGCTATTAAGCTACAATAGTTTCCAACCTTTAACGACCTTTGATCTAAATGTTATTTTGGTTTGTTTTCAACAAAGCAAGCCACGACTCTCATTCTAATTTAATCCCAATAAATCACGCGATGAAAAGTGTCATGGAATAATAAGCCGAAAAGTGACAAAAAGGCAGCCTCGACCACAATTATCCTTAAAAGAAAAGGCGTCATTGCTTTTAAGAATGAATAAAATTACGCGTTTTTGAATTATTTGTCTTGCAATACTTTGTTATGCCAACTTCAAGTGGGCCTTGCCCAAACTTTCAACAAAACGGTAACAGTCTTCGTTGTTCACATTCCGAGGTGTCCCAACTCAATGTTCATTGTTACAAGGGAAGAGCGTGATACGCAATGACGCTTCTAAACAAACTATTCCTTATTGACCACCAACAAACAACACCAGTAAAAGCGAAGCGTTTAGCGGACGTTTTCGCTTCATTTGATTTTCAATCACACAGTCGGACATATTTAATTAACTTAATAACCACTGTTACAAGAAACGTTGATGGACGGCAAGCTAATATTAAAATAGCGAAAATTTTACTTAGTTTCGTCTTGAACAGCTCCAGTTTACTGCCAAACTGTAAATGTTTTTTCATGAAAGGAATCTTTACTTTAATGACCAAGGGACAATCAAAGCAATTATGAGTTTCCGTCACCTTTAAGGCGTGCTGAAGCCGAGTTAATTTGACGTATCTCCACCTTCTTTACGCTCTAAATAACCACGAGTAATAAACAATAATTAACTACGAATGGTATAGCCACAAGCGATTGCACGGCTAATTTAAATTTGTTTGCTGAGTGCATGGTTGCCTCTTATCAGAGGATTATGTTGTTGAAAACGTTTCATAATCTCTCGGATTACAACACGCACTGTTGCTGCAAGGAAGGCCTCGAAAGAGTATACCTTGTGTAAATAATAATAAAATTACCGGTATTTAAGTTTTCTTACCTCGATGAGGTCCACTCTCCTGCTAAATTAGAGTTTTCGATCCCTCGAGTTCTTAGTCCAAGGCTGTGGTACATGTACCGAACAATTTGAAGACAATTCCTCTCACTTGCCGTACATTCGCGGAGCACTATATATAGAACATACAGGAAAACAACAGAGCGATGGTTTAGATTCTTATCAAACGACAACAAAACTTGTACCAAACTATGGGGGTTTTGTTGTTTTGCTACTTTGGAAATCGATTACTGGACTAAACAAGAGCAGTCGATAACCACCTACCTGAAAGAATGAAAACTAACGTCAGGAAAGCTGCAAGGTGAGACTTCGTCATTTTCGTGGTGCTGGAATCGTTCTCTCTGCCGCGAAGGTTTAAGTTTCACTTGAAATTCGCAAACTCAGGATAATGGTCAGCCTTCTTGACTGTACTGTTTCGTCTGAGTGCATGTAGGAAGAAAGAACAAAGTTTTTATCCTTAAGAGGTCAATTGTTAAATCCTGTTGGTAGGCAAAGCTCTCCAGATTCTTAAAATTGCATGGAGATTATAGTGAAGCATGCACTTTGTCAAGACGTAAAGGTGAAGTTGTGTTATGTTGGTTCAACACTAATCTAATTATCTCGTAAGGGATCTTGCGTCAACGTCTCAACGCGTGCCCCTTAGGTCAATTTCTTGAGGCTAGCGGTTTCATAAACCCCCACCCTATTGTCTCTTATTGTCCAGAACGAATAATTTTAATATCTTGAAACGTGAGTAGTCTTTGATAAACCACATTATTGTTCTTCATAATTATTGTTTGTCAAATCCAATAATCGAGGTAAGAAATACAGCGTTTTGTCAACTTGGGGAGGTTGACACGGATGATGCTGTCCGCCATGAACTCAATTTTCCAGATTCATTTTCTACGGCTGAGATGCATAAAAAAATGCATCGATGTAGATAAAAACAAATTGCTTTGAATAGCGATAAGCCACAATAACTCCAATTATAGCCAAAGACCAGACCGGGAGAATATAGGGAGACCGATTATTATCACCCTTTGACGTGTATAGTATATACCCGCTGGAAGTTAATTAAGAGATGCGTTTATGGCTAAAAGCATAACGATCAATCGTTTGTTCTAAATCTACGTTGACATTGAAAGAGATGAATCGAAATGATTAAGGAGTAATTATACTTCAACGAGGTGTAGATTACTTGGCCTTGGATAGATCACGCAACATAACCACTTCCGTTATTGAATAGAGGTTTTTACCCAGAGGAAAGGAGAGCAAAAAGATGCGGTTGATTTTTCACCTTCAATGTATAGTAGTGCCCAAGAGCAGTTGATATGTGTCACAATCTCTCTACAGGCTGTTTGAAATTCACATATTAGATTTCTCATCCTGCTTGATCTTGAGCAGCTGTTCAAGTTCTCCATGCACGAAGAACATTCCAGGCTTAAATGATGGTATGGTTTTCACAGCGCTCGAGGAATGTTTATCTGCCTCATTGATCTTATAACTTAGATTTTTGATGTTCTCGCTTGTAGAACAAAAGTACTTGAAATTTATACATGAGATTAGTGCCACATTCAATCCGATCAAACACTGACACGGAAAGAATACCTCACTCTTGATAATTTTCTCTGGTGTGTGCGGACTCGCTACAGTAGAGCAATGATCATCTTGTTAACATTCTAATTTACCTAAAATAATGGCAGTGATAACTGCTGGCGTTTTAAATCCTTGAGTTAATAGTTATCATGTGACAAATTCCTTTTCAGGTTTTTTGAAACGCTTCCGTTCTTAAAATTTTTCCTGCATAATCCCTCTAGAATTAATTTTTTTATGAGATTATTTTTTTCTGGTAATGCTCACCGTGCCCGTATTGTGAAAATTTGAAGTATGTTAACGAAGTCAAAGAAGGCTCATCAATTGTGACTCGCGCGACATTAGTGGATTCTATTTTACTCCATCAAGATTCCGTTCATGTTTGAACTGGGTTTTTTGAAAGTGTAAAAGAGTCGTATTTATGACACCATTTACGTTCGCTTCAGCCGTTCAAGTCATGAAATTTCCCAAAAGGTGAACGGATCATTATATTTCTTAGCAAAACTTTCCTAAATTTCAGAAAAGGCCAAAAGTCAACCTATAACAGGCAAGATAATGTTACATTTTTAGAACATGTCTGTTAAAGATATCACAAGAGGCAATTTGTTGCTTTAAACGGTCACCTCTTAAAAACACTGCATGGGAAAACTTTTTTGACTTTCAGAACAATCTTAGTAGAAAACCTTAATAACGTGGTTAGTTGTGGTCTCTTCGGATGTACCACCCATATGATTTCATCCGGTGGGTTTATGCCATACTTCAATAACTGCTAAACGTTTTCTTTTTTGGAGCAAAGAGTTATTAAAGTTACTAAACCAAACAGCTGACAAATCGATGGCTGACAAGGATACACTGACATGCTGTTTAAAACACTCTGTACTCGAATTATCGGCTATTTTTAGTTGTGTTTAAAAAAGATGTAGCTTATGTCAAATCAATTTCATGTGTTTAAAGCCGCTTGATGAGAATGTCTTGCATATGTAAGGTTAACCGTAATGCGATCTGTTGGAACTCCCGGATGAAACGGAGATGAGTTACTGTATACTAGACTAAATAAAATTCGAGAACGACGAGCTAAATAATGTTTTCTAGAGTAACAACATTAATGTTATTAATGCGATGTTATAAACAACATTTTGATGGTCCTCTTTACCAAGGTACATAAGAAATCAATCCTTTATGTTCAAAGAATTTCTCGAAATCACTGAGGTTTTTTCGAGGCTATAAGTCACAAAGTACAAGACAAAGGAACTATCTCGACGCAACACTTTCACCAAAAAAAACTCCTGCCAAGGTATTTTGCATGTATCACTAGTTCAAAAAAGAGTTATATTTGCATAAATATATTAGCCATATAAAACGTAAAAGAATGGAAACAGTTTGTTTGCTACAGTTGTCAGATTCGCAGGAGAGACGCGCAAGCAAATCAATCCCAAATTCCCCGTTCGCCATGTTAGCCTGATAATTGTACTTACAGTGATATTTTGACGAATGCCTTTATGTGAGCTTTGAAACAAACGAAGGAATCTTTTATATCGCAGTTCTCACGACCAATACAGGCCAGCTAAGAAGACGCTTGAACTGATTGTAGCGACACAGACTGCGCAGGGTATCTGTTTATACTAACACTGATCCAGACACTGCCAGCCAGCTCATCTAATCTTCCCGAACGATGTTGTGGAAATTAACCCCTGTCACAACTGGAAAACGCATTAGCCTATACCGAAAGAAACTCATTATACATTTGATGATGATGAATTCGGCTGGCTCTACCATAACTATCGGATGTATTTATACTTTCGGCACGCAAACATGTTTAGTTAATATTCCTCAGATGTGTGGTACGCCATGTCGTTTGGAATTGCTAAATCAAATAGCACTCCGTTTACACTTTTGACGTAAGCCGACTAAATTTCCTTTCAGGGCTTCAGAGAAAAATAAAAGGCAGGAAAAAGATGAATGACATGGAAAACTCTTAATATGAGCAATGACTAGCGGTTACAAATTCTAAAAAACCACATTGACTGAATGAGAGAGTATTTTTAATATGATAATTTTTGGACTTCGTTGGGAAGAAGATTTTATTTGTAGGAGCACCACCTTTGATTGAAATTTTGACAAAAGCTTTAAAATTGCTTCACAATACTTAATCACCGGATTTGTAAGTTGAAAAAATCTGCCTTACCTTCAGAAATGACAGAAATAAATCAGGCTTTTCCCTTCGAAACTGGCTCCTAATTTTCTCCGCTGAAAGGCCGGCAAACTTGGTCGAACGAAACTTTATTTTGAGACGAACTCCCAACGCTTATGAGGCATTGAACCGGAAAGAACAACTCCACGATAGCTTTAAAATCATTAAGCTGACCACTGAAATTGGTAATCTGGTTTGAACTTTTAGTTTTAGTCAATAAGGGGAAACAGAGTGAAGTGGGATAGGTTTGATAGAATACATTCTCCAGACAGTGACCACTTCACTTCTGCCAGTCAAATTGAACCTTTTATAGCGCCTTTGAAAGGTGTACAATGAAAATATGTTGATAAAAGCATGGTTGAACAAATGGATTAAACCACGAAGCTTGAAAAAGCAAGGATTTAGTATCTTTTAATTTTAATAGTCTCAGCTACCAGCAACAAAAAACCTTTTAAAATTGTTTCTTTGTTCGATATCACTGTCGTACGAAAGAGGATTTTTAGCGTCAGCTAAGAATTAAATTCCAACTTGAACGAATGTAAATAAGAGTAGATAAATTGAGGTGCATCCGACGTTGTAAATGTGATTCCTCGAGGCAAAATGACTTGGAGTCAAATTGTCTACCCACTTTCTTTCAAAACCACATTTATAATGACATGTTTACATTTAAATTTTGTAATCACTGCTAAAATGAATTATTTTCTCAGCGTCCGAACCAGTTACGACTGAAAAAGCTTTATAAAATAATTTAATTTTCAATTTTATCACGAGATATGAAAGGCTAGATTCCAGGCAAAGATGTTTCAACATATATATCCGGTAGGTGTGGGCTATCCACTTATGGAAGGCAAAATTTCGTAAACATGGCGTTTTAATAACACGAATTATCTTTTTCGGCACTCGATAGTCGCTGAAGGCAAAAAAAACTTGCATTTTCTAAAACTGGTGATTATACGTTAATTCTTTTTATAACCTTTTTTGAAATTTTAATATTAGCAGTTGTCCTGGGGCAAAATTCTAATATACAAAATTCGAATTATTTGGTTTGTGTTTTTGAAAAAAACCAGCTTCACAAAGTGATACTAAATATTTCGAAAGTATCAGTGAAAAAAATGTTTAGATCTAAAACGTTGAAAAACAAAATCCTAAAAAGACTAAAATTTCAATTTTTTTTGTTGTTTTCTCAGTCGTAAATAGATGCACATAGCTGAATAATGAAGATAATGCCAGCTTTTCTAATGACCAATGTTTGTGCTTCTAAACTTGTGAGGAAGTGTTTCATTCAACAAAAACAAGTTCGCCCGATGCATATCTATTTAGCTAACAACTGGAAGTTGGTATTACCGCCAGCAGTTTCTATATCATTTTTTTTTTAAGGTTTTTATTCAATGTGATTACAATATTCATGACTCTTGGGCTCAAACCATTCACTGTTTTACTATTCAGACTGGGGTCATGTTTAAAGTTCTAGAATATTAGGGGAAAAAAGCATACAGGATTACAAAATTATATTTTATTGCCGATATAGAATGAGTTGGCAGAGCGTTTCTGTAGCAGGAGTTCCGAAACTAAATACAAATCACTGTATAATTGAGTTTTAAGTGCTTGTTGAAATACATGGTCTTTGAAAGTAGGATACAAGGCTAAAAAACAATAACGTTAACAATAATCAACATGTTTCGTGTAAACAGTATTGGTCTTTTGCTAGTTGATTGTATTTAATATAATTTTGAAAAACTTTTCCTGTAATGTTTTTTCGGCCAAGCCCTGATTTCAAGTCAGTTATACGCGGACTTAGTCACAAAGGTTATCATGCTACTCATGGTCGAGTCTTTCTTGAATGTATCATGATATCAGTTGAAAGCGCTAACGTTGAGAAACGTCAAGAAACATGGCTTAATTACCCAGCATTAAAGACAGCGATATTAAATTTGATTATTCACTCTGTCACGTATTACCACGGCGACAAAAGTACTCAAGCCACCGCTATAATCTTCCAACACCCTTTTATTTAATCACCGGCGGAAAGCTCTGCCCTACTGATTACCGCTTGTAGATGACCTGGAAGCAGGATTCCTTAAGTTATGTTTACTTACAGAAAATTCCAGGTTGTATTTTGACTGTAATCGAAACATTCAACACCCCAATTAATTCTCTTAGCTGTTATTCTCAATGATCACAACTCCAGTGGATAATACTTTAATTCCAGCTTTTTGGCTAAGTTAAGAAACACGCACCTTTGCAAAAATAGACTAACATTAAAGTAATGGACGATTGTGATGCGGAGGGCAGAAACCTTGGAATCTCTGCACCACATCCTTGTTAGTGACTTGTTAGACGTAATTAGGCTGTGCGGTTTGATTGCACATACACCGAGATGGGCGACTGTGCAGTCTTGCTGATATTACTTTTGATGTTTAATTACAATTTACCTTTTCGGTACAATTTCATTGACGATCATTTGGATTAAGCTATTTTTGTGGTTCACAGTAGCATTTCAAGTATAGTCGCTACTAACGCAGGTCAGGTCGCGTTAACCATCAAATAATCGGCGGTTTTTCGGGCAAAATCGTCGCACATCAAAAATTGTATTGCCTGGTAACGCTACTAGTTAACTTGCCAACCATAACGATCGCGGAAATGAGAAAATCAAGAAAGCAAAATGTTTAATAAGCAAAGCCAAAACTCTGAACGTTCAGCACACTTTTTGGCAGATTTCTTTGTCATCATCGGACGACTACTGAACGTTGTCAAACTCTATTGGAATGGCATTGCGACGGTCGCTTTAATCTCTAAGATCGTTGCTTTATCAAAGGCGATCGTCGCGACTTCAATGTCGTCGGAAATTACCTACCTATACAGAGGCTCAGCGGTGCTGGCTCAATATTCAATTCCCGCACCCGAAACGCAGTTTATGTGAATGGTTTACCTTATTAGCTCAACTTATATCTCTCTTACTGAGGCAATACTGTATATGCAATAATCCACTGATCACCAGGTATTCAACTCTCGTGCCCTGTGCGACACTCCCAATGAAAGCATTGATGGATTTCCTCTACTTTATAAACTTGCTATATCTCGTCACAGCACTTCACTACAACCGACCATGACACAGGACAATTCATGCTCCTTTATTTAAATCATTTTAACTTGTAAACTTCTTCTTCCCCCCTCACCCGACAATTTTCATGTCAGTAACTTTTTTTCTTCTAGTCGCCTTAAACTTAAAATTTAGTCTTGTAAAACTGATCTGTTGACAATGCGGTGCGTCTCAACAAGATTTTTTTCATTATCGCCAGAGAGAGCTTCAGGTTTTTTAAACTCAAGGAAAACTTCTATCTATTCCTTCATTTCATAATTATCCGTGACAAGCATGTTAGGGTAGACACTTCCGTATAATTTCATAAGCCGATTTAGAAACAGACGCCGTTGTCAGTTAGAACTGAAGATAAACATTGTTACTTATCTGTAACAACTTCGTGTCAGGCTTACATAAAGCGTGAAAACGGTTAAGAAGATGAAAGGACCTTAAAATTCTTTCATTCTTGCACGAGGCATGTCACTGGTAGACCCAATAAATTTTACAAAATAAAAAGATATTGTCGACGGTTTTTTACATTTTAAGGCCACTGATAGGGAGGTGTGTTTCTGTGTTTCATTTAGAACGACGTGCTTTGTCGGTAAAGGATATCTAATATAACTGACATGTAGTCTCAAATCTATAGAGCGGTTTTCACTTGACTGTCGTAAAACCAAAACCAAAGTAAATACACTAGCCAACCAGAGGGCGTAGTAAAACCAAAACCAAACCAATTCCTCAATTACTTTCGACAGTCAAGTGAAAACCGCTCTATAAGAGAAGAACCATTTATATATTTGTCCGGGTGTAAGTTTCGCAACAAAAGAATTTTTCAAAAGATTAGAAATGCAACTAGTGATTATAACATGCATCGGCCGTGTTTATTCTTGGCAAACTTTCTTCTTCAAGGAACCAAGTAGAAAAGAGGAACTAAGACGAATGTTCAGTTCATTTGTTATACATAGAGAAATCAAGTGAAAATGTCAACCAACTCAGCATGTATTTCAAGCTTAAAATTACTAATGTCAAAATTACTAATGAATCGGTTTAAATCGGAGTGGAATTAAGATAAAGACACCTGTTTGTTAAATCCTCTAATCAGGTTAAAACTTTCATTCAATTCTTAAGAGGTAAATATAAACGGTTTAGTTAAATGACGTTTAAGAGGGCAAAACAAGACAAGTTTTCACGTACAAAGCACATTCTCACGCAATTTTTTCTACCAGCAGCCTCGCCTATTTAAAGTGACTCAGCTTTCAAATGATTATGTTCCTTTTACATTTGTCTTAATGGTTATATGCTTAGTTCTACTTTCATCCTTTCGTCGTTTAAAACTTACGGACATTTTTAGAGAAACATTCAACATGCAATGTTTCCTAATCAGCTCGAAATTGAAGAATCCATGAGTTACGCGACTCACCTTTAAAAATGAGGACAGCTGCTTTTGAAATTACCCTGTAGATGTGTTTTCCGTGTCTAAAATAAGGAATTTCTATTGAAAATTCCGGAATATCGGTTTTTATCTCCAGGAAAGCTCGCTGCGACTTCCTCAGCCTGCTATCAGCACATGTTCAAGGAGTGTTCTGGTTTAATAACGTGCAACCAACAGCCTACATAGCCAAGGAAAGACTATGGATTGCGGAATCTAATGCGATAAGTGTCTGTTACTTTTACGAAGCTTAGAACTAAGATCACCTTAAAGTTTTAACCACGTCTGATCTCCATAATTCGCCACAAGCA